CTGCCATGAAGAAAGCAGCTTTGGTACAGCACTCATTTCCACCACTCTCTTTCAGCCTTGGAGGCAGCTGACCAAGTACTGATCCCCTAAAATTGTGAAGCAAATTAGTCCTCTCCTCTCAGTTGTGGGTGTTGGGTATTTTGTCACTGTCAGGAACACTGATAGTCATATTGGAAGGAGTCTCTACTCTGTCATCAGATGGCGATTGTGTTCTGTAGACAACTTGTCTTTATGCCTTATTCCAAAGCTTTCCACCCATTCTTACTAGTTGTGTTTCCACCAGGGTGGTCTAGAGTTACAATCATTACTGCTATGGTCCATTGCAGTGCCTGTGTGGCTATGGATTGTTGGGATATCAACTTTTGAATCACCAACAGGGCTGGGAAGGGTAATAAATTATTAAACTGGATTTCTGGGCCTCCCACCAGATCCTTCCTTTCCTTCCTTCCTTCCTTCCTTCCTTCCTTCCTTCCTTCCTTCTTTCCTTCTTTCCTTCCTTCCTTCCTTCCTTCCTTCCTTCCTTCCTTCCTTCCTTCCTTCCTTCCTCGCTCCCTCCCACCTTTCTTTCTTCTTTCCCTCCCCCTTTTTCTTTCCATTAGAGAAACACTGTCTCTCTTCACCTATTCCTTATCACTGCCCAGAAAATAAGAGATATTTTCCTTAGTCCCAAGTTTTTCTTTGGCTTTTAGAATTATCTTTTCAAACCTTAGCTTTCTATGGGAATTTGCCTTATTCTTTCAAAGTCACAGGTTTGTTTGGAAAAAACCCAAAACAATATCAATAAAACATTTACTTTACCGTTCAGCACTATTCGTAGTTTATAGTTAGTAAAAATGTACTTTTTCCCTAAACAATCACTTTAAAATGTGTAATTCCTGAACAAATATTTCTTTGTTGGCTCTGTTTTGTGCCTTTGCAGCTTGCATTATACCTTCAAGAAAATGGTCTATATATGACATTAAGTTTTTGAGACACATATCAAGTAATATATTACAATCATTACAACCAAAAAAGAAATAACTACTGCCATACTGAAGAAAAAATACCGTAAGGAACAAATGCCTTTAGCAATGTAATTGTGACTACTGACATCTCATGTAAGATCACTTCTTTGTGCCTCTACAGTGGGATTATTTGACACATGGACTATCTTTATTTGGGTAGCAGAGCACTACGAGCCACCTCTTCAAAGGTAAATAGAGAAATGTGCACATTGAGTTACACCCATGGTATATTTATTGAAGAGAATTACCTTTGAATGATTATTTTATTCCCATATTCTAAGTCTATAGACTCTCTGTTAAATTGGTCCTGCATTAGAAGCTAGTATTCACTACATGAACGTTTTTCTTGAAAGTTGCTATAAACTTAACACAGATTTACTTCATTTCACAGACTGTCTTCTCTAACCTTTTTCTTTCAATCTGAACTTTACTGGAATCTTCATGTTTAAAAATATAGCTAATTAGATCAGTTTTTAAACAAATTAGCAACGTTGATTTTAAAACATAAAGCTCAAATGTTGAATGTAATGAAGTTCAGAATGTGAAGTACTCATCATTTGTTGGCCAGCCTTCCCCCAACAAATGTTAATTTATTATTTGAAAATTCCCACACATAACAGTTTATGTTTCAGGTGATAATTTCTTTTCCTGAAATGGAGTTTATTTTCCAGGTAACCATTCCAGAAAGGTTTTCATTACATCATCATGTGTTTATAGCTTCTCGTTAGAATAGGTGCCAGACCATGTTATGAAAAATGTCTGGCACATGGAAACAGTATAGTAAAAGAGTTAAAAATGTAAACTAATGAGTCAGACCAGCTATGCTCATACATTGCTTTTATTTTTTGCTAACTAGATGACTTTGGACCAACTTTAACACAAGTTATACATTAATGTCCTTATTTTAATTGTATTTGCTCTAAAAAAAGTTGTTTGGAGGATTAAATGAGCTAATTCTTGCTAGAACAGTGCTAGGCAAAGTGGACAAATACCACTATAATTTTTTTATTATATGTGTAACTATTATTATATTGCAAAATACTATTTTTTAAAAAAATAATAATTTTATGTTGTGCTCCATATCCTTATTTTCAGTAACTGTAATTGTGGAAAAACATTCTTTAAACAGAAAAACTTGAAGTTCAAATTTTATTACATTGAAATCAGTAGAGTTCTGTATGGAATATTCGTAAAGACTTGAAATTGGTTTTGCTTTTCAAATAGGCCTTTTTCCTACAAGAAGTTGCAGGGTGATGAGGGCCTGGCGTTGGCAGAGATGTTTTGGGACAGGTCTGAGAAATAAGTTTCTCCCCCTTCTGTGGTGAGCAGACCCTAGGTGCACAGCTCAGAGTCACAGATGGGAAGAGGAGAAACAGATCTCTGTAAAAGAATTACCCCTAGCCCAGGAAGCCCAGAAGCCAAGCAAGAATCTGGAGACCAAGTAGAAGAAAACGCAAGGAGTAAGAAGCCTGCAGTTTGTCCCTAGGGCATGTCCTTTACGGGATCTCATTCCTGAGCAGGGAGGCCATGTACAAAGTGCTGGGCTTGCACTTGGCCTTTAGTATCACCCCAGGTTCTATTTAGCTGCACCACTTAGACTCTACGCAAAGTAACCAGAATTTTATTCTAAACTGAGATACACACTAAAGATGATATACCCTACTTTTAAAGAAGAACGGCTTACATTTATAAATCATGTCAAAAATGCTTTTAAAAATCTCCTTCGGTAGCAAAAAAGATAGAACAAATACAAATGCTGTCTGAAAGCACCAACACAGATACCAGAGCACATCGCTCTGGTGAAATTATCAGCAAAAAGGCAGAAGGAGAGGCCATGGCAGAGACTGCAGCATCCACTGCTTGTTAGCTCCCAAAGATTACTTGGGGGATGAGATAAAGAAATGAAAATAACTGAACAAATGTGAAATCAATAAAATTGCTTTATATCTGAATGAGTCATCTCTAAATGATCTTTATTTGCCTGGCATTTTAAAACACAAAGCGTAGGATATTCTAGCTTGATCTGCTCAGAGTGTGCTGCTCAATTTGCATAAAGTGAGATCCAGTTCTGTGGGCAGGATTGCACTTCAGGGACCTTAGGTAAGGGCTGGAGAATCAGGAGGGCCTGGGCCTTTTTTTGGCATACCATGAAAGGAATCCACAGCCAGCATCTCACTTCTCTTTGACAGGGTTTCCCAAATTTACTGAGGAAATAGATCACATTTCATGGGAGGCCTCCTGAGAATGTTTCTGCTCCAGATATTTATGGAGTATATGTTTAGATACCGATTTTTGGTGCTATTTAATGAGAAGAGACTTTTAAATACTTAATATAAAAATGATGTGCAAATGTAATAAAAGTATATTCTAAAACATTTAGGACTTTAATCTATTGATTTATGCTCAAAGACTAGAACAAGGATGCACTTTTAAGACTTTATTGCTTGGAGCTGCAGAAGAAATGCAATCTAACTGTATTATAATGTATGAATACAGCACAACTAATAAAAATTATTAGGAAATAGATAACATTCCAGTAGCTCTTATATGGAGGGAGAAATGCTTTACTTTTAAAAAAAGGTTAGCATGAAACAGACTTGCTTAGATTTGCATGAACACATTTCAAAACTAGAAATAGTTATTTTTTTAGTATAATACTTGCACATTTCAAAACTAGAAATACTTGTTTTTCTAGTATAATACTTGTACCATTTGAATGATCATTTTTAAAATAAGTACAGTCAGGGCTTGGGATTTAGCTCAGCGGCAAAGCGCCTGCCTAGCAAGTGCAAGGTCGTGAGTTCAGTTCCTGGTACCGGAGAAAAACAACAACAACAACAAAAATAAAATAAAAAATAAAATAAGTACAGTCAACCTTCTCTGTCCACAGGCTCAGCATGTGTGGATTCAGATCAAAAGTATTTTAAAAATTGTTTCTGTGTGGAATCTATAAAGACTTTCCATTTTGTCATTATATCCTAAGCAATATACTATTGCAACTATTTATATAACATTCGCATCATATTAGGTAGTATAAGTAATCTAGAGGTGATTAAAGCACACAAGAGGATTGTGGCAGGTTGTAGAGACATACTGTGTCATTTTACATAAAGGAGTCTGTAGCCACAGATTTTGGTATCCATAGGGGATCCTGGAATCTATCCTCAATACGTACTAAGAGACAGATGTACGCTCTTTTTTTCTCTTTTTAGAATCCACATCAATTGTCTCTTTACATATTTTTATACTTCTCATATAAATGAGATCAAATGCCATATATGGAATGTAAGACAGTAAATACCACTGAAATGGAGACCAAACATGGCCACAAGAGGCGTGAGTGCAGTGGGAGGGATGGATGGGCAAAGAAGAGATGGGGATCAAAAGTGACAATTTCCGTTAGACTGGAGAAATAAGTTTCAGGGATCAGTTGCACTGTGTGGTGACCACAGTTAATAACAATGTCTTGTGCATCCCAAAATTATTTAAGAATAGAGTTTGACATTCTCACTACAAAATAATATGTTTATAAGGTGATAGATATGTGAATAAGTTAGATAAAATTTTTCAGTGATCAAAACATTACATTGTGCACACAATTTTTCACAAATATGTCAATTAAAAATAAATTAATAGAAAATGCATGAGAATAATAAAAAATTTGCAAGAAATTCTCTAAGACAAGTGCATTTCTAAGTGGAAATAGAAGAGATTATATTTGCATCAACCATTTCAAAATTGATCAATCTTCTACAAACTGGGTCCTTCTTTAAAACATGGCAAACATGTAGTTCAAGATGATACTATCTTCCTGTAGATGTATTCATTACCAAACTTTGATGAATAATGAACAAATAGCTCCTACAGCATTCAAATAAAGATCAAGCACTAAAACAAAATCTCAGAACCTATAGGACCTCCTGGTGGTTTTTGCTGCCGTTGCTATTGTTTTACAGACGTGGAACAAACAGCCAAGCTCTCTGGCACGTTACTTACTGATGGGTAGAGGTAACCTTCTGCGTTCATGGCTATATACAACCCTGTCTTCACTCCCTGGATGGCAACGACACGCAGTCCCACTGGGATGAGGTTGAACAGTGCTGTGAAGATAAAGGGGGTCCACAGTGAATGGGCAGGAAGCAGCCAAGCATTGCCGTAACGTTTTCCCCTCTCTCTTCTTTTACTTCAGAAAAATAATCTTTATTCTTACTGTTGGAGAAGTTCTGACCAAAGAACTTTTATTTTTCCTCACAATAAGAAAGATTCTGCTGAGTGTAAAATTAACACTTCACCTTTAATTTGTAAATCTTCTCAGCAACTTTGCTACAACCTTTTGAAGAGGCGCTGGTGTCATAAAGAGAACCAATCCTGTAATCACGGTTCTAGTATCACAGTCTCTGACACCATTAGACTCCCAAAGAAATCAGCTGTGAAGATTCTCAGAGAGCAGAAGCTGAAGAGCCCAGTGTTTATTCTCATTTTTTATATAGAAGGTGTCATTTGTCCCTGCAAGATAGTGTGGGCCAGAAGTGCAGGAGGTAATTCCAAAACTAAATTACCCTGCAGAACCAATATGACATGCAAGCAGGGCCACGCAGAGAGGTGCACCTGCCAAAAGGCTAAATTTAGTAAGAGCTAATCACGGCAAATGGCATGGAAATTATAAATACACAATTTTCTTTATTAATATTTTATAAAGCTATGAATATATGCTAAAGTAAGAGGAGAAAAGAGTTCGGTTTTTCCCACTTAATAGATAAAATCCATTTATATTTCCATGTTTTGTTTCTTCCCTTGTTAATAAAGTGTTTTTATGTATTTTTCACAGTGCAGATAGCAATGGTATAATTGATTTTTTAAATATTAAAACCCCAAAAGTGCATTTCCAGGCCAGGGTATATGTTCACTTAGTGGGGATTTTTGCCATCATTTGGAGTGATAGCTGCTTGATGATTTTGGAGATTTTATTATAGATACTTTTATAACAGAACTGTTAGTTATCCACAGAAAACTTGCCCTCTCTCACTCAAGGTCCTCTTAACTAAAATCTAATTATGAGCGATAGGACCAGGCCAGAACAGATATTAAGAGCACTAACGTTTTATTGAAGTACATGTTTAAGTAAAATATCTAATGTTAGGCTTTCAACTGTATTTCATAGAAGTCAAATCACTTGCAATGTGGGCAATTCTGACTTCATTCTGAGTCTACTCAGAACATAATTAAAAACTGACTCTATAAGTTGTGTTCTATTTTATAATCAGGGACATGATTTCTCTTAGTAAGGTGGAGAAGGTTACATGCTCTCTTCCAATGATTATATACTACTGTTCCCAAGATCTCAAGGTTTCTGTACTCAAGTTCTAGAATGCCTGAACAGTATTATTTTCCTTGTATTTAAACAGGATGTGTACGGTAGAAAAATTCCTGATGTGCAAAATTTTGACATAAAAACATAATCATATTTCTGTCTATTCAACCTATTCTAACCTAACAAATTCAAACAATTATCTAAACTTCATATATGGCTAGTGGTATTTGTAGATAACCATACATTTGATATAAGCCAGAATACTAAATTTCTAGAATTCAAGCATATCATGACCTTGCCAAAATAATGTGGCATGAGAAACAAAAATTCTAGAATCCAGTCTAAAGTATCCATAGTTAAAAAGTACATTATTATCCCAAGATCTTTGTAAGGACCTGGATTATAAAAATCAAGTTAGTATTTTCACTACAATAACAAAATATAAACCATAAAACCACTGTAATGTGGAGGACCTTCCACGCTGACCAGGATGAGTTTGTCTTTCAATGAAAACTGCAGGTACATTAAGAAATTATATTTTTCTACTCTCTGTGAATTTTATGTAGCTGTAAAGCAATAACACAAAGTCTAGGGCAATAAAAATAATGAAGATATTCCTACAACTTTGTTTATTCTGTGGAGTTCTCTAGCTTCCATGTAAGAGATTTCCAGCCCTAGTTAATCATTAAAACTGCTTATGTTCATAAAATAAAATGGGCAAGGCCCACTTCAGATCTGTTAAAACAGAATCCTCAGGGGTTGGGCTTAGGGTGTAAGAAAGTTTTTTAAAAACTTCTCAAATGAGCCTAACATGCAATCCAGGAAATGGGATCCAAAAACCTGCAGGGTGGTGTGACAGTTGTCATCCATTAAGCTACCAAGCTCATAATTTGTAGAATAAGGGGGACTGTTTTCAAGGTTTTAACACTGCCCATAGAAATTATTATTGCACTGATAACTATACAGTCCAATCCTACTCAATCTCATAATGGGAACAATGAGGTAAAGTTTGAGAACACAGGAAAAAAATGTTGTTACCAAAAGTAAACCAGAAGGAAGGGAAACAAAAGCACTCCTAATAAAATATGGTAGTCGGCAGTAATGCTAACATTTAGGCAAATTGTAAAGGTATTCCCATAACTCTGGAAATGAATATGGTGATGGAGTCTTCTGTGAGGTCACTTCCTTTGTGAAGATCTTTCTAGGACACATGGCAGCCAATGATAAGCAGCTAAGTAGCTTCCCCACAGGACCATTCTCTCATCAATCATTTTCTTGCCATTTTTCCTTCCTAGAGATCTCTAGAGCTCAGGCTACAACCCCAGGGGCCACTCAGTGGCCTTTCTGCCTCTTCTCAATGCATCTCAGCTTCTTTGCAAGAGTAGACGAGTAGGGTACTTCAGACTATTCCTTCTAAATAAACCCATAGTTAGCGGGAAATGTGTCTTCATGGTGAACTACACTCAAGCACTGAGCTCGAAGATTTGAAGGTCCAAGCTCCAATCTTCTCATTTGATGACTTAGAGTGACTGAGGAGTTTTAAGTTATTTCTCATTATTTCTCCTATTTACAGATGGCTTGTGTTCAGAAAATGTTTTCCAAGAAAGGAAGTGTATTTATGAATTACTACACCACTCTCCATCTCAAACCAAAGGGGCTCCACACTAACTTATACCTAGATGCTTCTCTCTTAAAAAAAAACTTGCTAATTTCTCTGTCAGTATGAAATGTCAGGATTTCTAATGCTTAACCACTTAGCACTAAAAAATTCTTTTCAGTGCTAAGACTATGAAGACTACCATAATTAATGATGAGGAAAAAATAATCTTAAAATTCACCTTAAAATGATGGTGTTCAATTTTAAAAAAAGAGATAGTACACAAAAGGGGAGTTAATTAGTAACTTCCTATGCATTTACAAATCTGCTTTAATTCTGGAAATTTCTATTAAATTTTACAATTATACAATGTGTGCAGCCCTCAGAATAGAACCATCATCTCAGCCTCTTTATGTCTTTGCAAATTTTGAAACAGTAGCAAAACTGAGTTGAAGTGCACATAAAATGCAAAATCATGTGCAAGAAAAGAAGCATGTGCGCATGTGCATGCGTGCATGCATGTGCAGTCTAGACCTGCACCTCCGTAATGTAGGAAAGGTTGTGCTGCTTCTTCATTGTGAAGCAGTGTGCTCTTAGAAGACAAAGTATACTTGATACTTCTCAGTGTGATACTGGGTATCAACATTAAAGATAAGCAATTTGTTTAACATTACACCACCCCCCTGAAAAAAAAGAAGAAAAAAGCTAAGGAGAAATACATAAAACCTTTGTTTAAAGGAAATTATTTTGTTTATGCAGTCTAATGAAGCAAGATTTTTGTACTGTTGGAGCTTATTTCTTTCTTGAAAACTTTTTTTCATAATATGGATAAAGTCACTCTCATCTGCTCAGTCTTTCAGGGAATCATGGTTCCTACAGTGAGCAGAGTTATGAAAAGCTCTTTCCTGTGGCTTATTAGATTCTGACCAGTGATGATCGGGACCCATTGAAGACATCAGAGCTCTGGAACTGCTAAGCTTCCTAGCCCCCACAACTATAAGGCGTGAGGAAAAAATTCTCTTTGGGTCAAAAAATGAAAAAGGAGTTAAAAGTGGCAAAAAGAGACAGTAGCTAGATATAGATATAAATATAATATTATATACAGATATGTTAAATATCTATATGCAATATGCGTATCTATATATAGATATATCTATATCTATTATATAATAGATATACATATTAGCTTGAATCATAAAATAATTGATATCTTTCTCAGACAAAAGTGATAAAGTACTGATCGTTCATAAAGGTCTAACCTATAAGAAAATCCCAACAAGCAAACAGTCTCTGACTCTGGTCTTATGAACAAAACATCTCCTCTTTATCCCTGTGCTTGAATTCTACCCTTCTATTTTCATAAATGAAAACAGAATAAAATGAAATCAACACATCAATAGTATGAAACAGAAATTAAAGGGAAAATATAGTGGAAAGAAAGGAGATGAAAAATTGAAAAGGAAGAAAATGTAGATAAAAAAGAAACAAGACAAGATGTAGTAAAAATAAAAAGTGAAGCAATCGTGAAATCTAAGAGAAGCAAACACAATGTTTAGAAACATTATGATTTTTAACATAAAAACACCAATCATAAAAATAGCCTTTTTATATCCTTAGCAGCTCTCAGAATCTGCTACTAAACACTTGATTAATAGAACTTTAAACAAAGTCCTCATAATTTGATCATACATATTCAAATCCTCCCTTCTTTTTATGGAATGATCTTCTCTATGTGAAAGACTAAATGTTAAATGGATGGAAACATTCTTATCTACTCCTGATGCACTGGGAATATTCCCTGTGATAAAATATGTCTAATAAATCTTTATGTTTTTGCTCTTCACTGACTCTTTCCAGTGAAAGGTGTGTCTATTTTAGAATTACTCTTAATTTAGAAGAAATCAGATGGCAGTAGAAACAGGTAATGTGACTGGAAACACGGCTAAGTTAGGAAGGACACTGGGGCATCAGCCACACCCTACATAGAAAAGTAAAATGTGAAGAAATAATAAAGACAGACATTATTATTATGGAAAATGTGTAGAGTTTTAATAAATTATCACAAACCCAACTCTGTAAAGTAGTTAAACATTTTGAACAATATATGTATTCAGAAGTATATAGTCTGACCTTCTGTATGGAAGAAAGATGTTTTCTTTCTTGAGTGCAAAAATTCTTTTGAAAAATTATACAGCATTTCTCTTATCTGACACAAATTAATTCTTATAGCTCTGGAACTTCCATAGGATTGTTAAGAAACTATAGGTCTAGTAAAATAATACAGCCGAAGGAAATGTGTTCAGTTTTCAACTTAATACACTAGTGTACTTACTAGATTTTTATAATAATGAGATTAAAAGTGACAGTAATTCTCTGTGTCTGACAACTGTGTGAAGAACTTCAGAGACTGACTTAAAATTATGCGACAGGTTTCATCTCTGCATTAGTATTTCCTCCTGTGTGGTCTTAGTGACATTGGGAATGCTAACCTAGCATGTAGCCTTTGTAAAAATGAACCAACATTACTGTTTGCAAATGCATCTTTAAAAGGCAGTGGCAGTGTCTGTCCCCCCAGCTGTGCTCCCTGGTGTCCCACAGCTGTCACTTACTGGAATTGGTGCTGTCATCCTTGGTTCCATCGAGAGCTCCATCGGGGTGCATTTGCAAGTAGTAGCCTTGCCTGCAATATAACCTGGTCACTATACCCTTGAGCTGCGGATCTGAAAAGCAAACATAGTCACCATAAGCCTCACGATGTGGCAAGGTACAGTTTCTTTTCTTTTTCTTTTTTCTCAGAAGTAAAGGACATTTTATACAAGTAGCATATTTATTTTACATCTCTGAGATTCCCGTTTGTCAAATTCAGGGTATACAAGTCATACAAGCTAAAGAAAATGCAGTAGTAAGCAATAGAAAATGGGCTCTTTTATGAAACTAATGTATATGTATTTAAATTAATCATTAAAACTTTTAAATTAGTCAAACTGTTCATGATTACTTTAAGGTGTAATTAATGTAAGCTGATATTATCATTCAGGATGGCATATCAGGAGTTTCATAAAGGCTTTTAAATGGAGCTTTCATTTTCCTTAAATTGACAAGTAACCCCAAAATGTGAGAAACCTGCATTCTTTAAAACTTTATGCTAATATTTGATACACATTCTTAGAAATAGTTCCAGTTCGCAGAATGTTCCTGATGTCCAACGTGTCAGCCCCCCAACTTGCAGGGAAGAATCTATGATATTTTCACAAGCTCCATGGAGAAATGGAACACTGTTTCCACATGCAAGGTGAGCCTTGACAGCAGACCAGCACAGAGGTCTGGGGATGTGGTTCAGTATAAGAACATGTGCTTTGCATGAGCAAAGGGCCTAGGTTCCTCTTGCAGCACCAAAATAAACAATAAACAAAGAGAACAAAAGTTTAAAATTGTGCCTTATCCAAGGAAGTCAGCGCTGAGGCCGAATTCTGGGCAAGTTAGAGAAATTAACTGGGTAAACCCATTTATGTAACTAAAACAGTCCTTATAGCAAATGGAATCTGATTTTTGATGAACAGGAGCAAAGAGTACTGGAAGTGGATCATAACGCAAAGGGAGCTCACATGTCACTGACTTCATCTGATGATTCATAGAAAAGATAGCTGCCATAGTTAACCAGTGCTTCGTGAAAAGCCCATTGAATCTTTGAAAATAAATATTTGCATGTGATTTTTTCAAAGCCATCTCCACCCCAGGCCTAAATTTGATGTGGGGCATGGCAATCCTCACTATGGCAACTGGCTTTTCTCTACAGCAGCTGAATGGGACATGCAAAAGCAATCGTGCTGTCCAAACAGCAGGAAGGTACTGAAGGAGGAAACCCCGCCTTTCATAAACAACAGAAAAAAACACGGAACTGTAAACGGATGGACACAAACAGCACACGGGCAAAAATCTCCAAGATGCCCCCAAAGAGAATATCCTCAGGTGTCTGATTAACCATTGAGAAGTGAAAAGGAGTGCCAGCACCCGCCACTGTTTCGTACATGGTGTGATACCGGGAAAAACTTCTGCAAAATAACTCCTGAACACACTCTCTCACAGCATCAGGGGACTGAACCTGTCAGGATACAGATGTGTATAAATGACTAGGATTTTAAACAGCAGTGCCTAAGTGATCGTTAACAATGTGTTACATAAGCTTCTTATTCCATAGTATCTAACTTTCAAAGTCACATAATTTTAAAATGTGTATTAGTGAAAATTTTTTATTGTACTTTCATCTGCTCATTCTCTAGTAAAAAAGACTGGCTATCAGTTCCGTCTACTGGCGAAAGACTTCTTTTCTGAGTTTTGGTGGCTATTATTTATGCTTTTCTCTGAAAATAGGAAGCATGTACAAGAAGACAGCAAAAGTGGAAAAAAGTAAGGGACAATTTCTTGATTGCATGAAAACAGAATCTGAGAGACTGACAATATTTCCGTAAAACCTTTATGTTCTGATGTCACTTATTTTTAAATAATTCTAAGGCAATAAAAAGACTTCTGTCTACTCGCAGGCTCTCTCACACTACTAGACCATACCTCATTTCTGTTAAGGGAGTAAAAATAATCTGTGAAATGCTGTTTTAGAGCTCTCACTTAATTTCCAAAACAAAAAAAAAAAAAAACAAACTAAAAAACTCTGATTTGATTATGTAGTTTCACAGTACTTGATATATTTATTTTGAAAAATCATAACATTGTGTTCTTCTTGGGTGCCATTGTTCTAAGAAAATTATAAAATTATTTCAATGGCTCCTCGCCACAGATCTAGTAGGGAGCCAATTTTGAGGATGAGAGAATTGAGACACGGAGCAATTAAGTAATTTGACGAAGGACACATAAGTAACACGCGCAAGGTTGAAGGCTGACAAGGAACATCTAACTCTGGATTCTGGCTACAAAGAGTGGTCTCCATAAAGTGAACAATTAATCTAAAACATCTTAAGAATCTAAAATAAGATGTGAATCAATCTTTGAAGAAAAGAAAAGCCCAATGTTGCATGAGTTAGCCACATTTGTGTCTAAACCTGAATCTTCCAAACTCAGAGGTGAATATATGATGCAAAAACATAATAGAAAGCTAGAAAAGATCAAAGCTCCTGAAAATCTCTTCTAATATTCACCCACTTTATCATTTGTCACATACCCAGTAAATGTGTTCCCTTGTGAAGCCCTCACCATAGGAGCAAATGCGATAGAGTAAGTAGAAAGCTTCCTCCAGTATTCCTTTCACCCAGCTCTTGCATCCACCAACTCCAGCCAGCAGATATTTCTACCTCGGATTTTAGTATTTGTGCTGATATTGTCAGTCCCCTAAACATCCCCTTATTATTTTGTTCCACCCGATGCACTATTCAGTCCCGTTGTATGCTTCGTCCCAAGGTCTCCCACTCCTCTCCCTTTTGATATTTTCACTGTCCCATTCCCTTGCTAGATGGTATCCCAGCTGCAGTCTGCCTCTTCCAACCCATCTGATGCGGAAATGTGAATTATGAACCCACACCACAGGAGGAGGACCCATCTTATCTGCTGGCCTTGTTTACAACTTCCTCTACCCCACTCTCTGGGAGAAGCCTCTTTTAGGCCTCTGTAGATGGTCTACAAGAATTCCATAATCTCCACCTTTACCTTGTTCCCTTTACCTTACTGTCTCAAATATGCCCACCTGCACATCAGTGCCGCTTGCACACCTGCATGGGTACGAAGACACACGCTCACATCTTTACCTAGTTAACTCCTTTTCCTCCTCCCCAAATCTGGGTCCATTAATACTTCATTTTCTTGGGAGCACTTTCGTGACACTCTAGACAAGGGCAGTTTCATCCTTTAGATACTTTCATGGCAGCATTCATCACAAGTTTGACTTATTTTTAAATATTAAAATTACTTAATTTTGAAACAGTCTCAATACATTGAAAATATAGAAAATAATAAGTGTACAACGTGCAACCATATACCTACCACTGCTACTAAACAGATGTTAAGTCCTTCATTATAATTCATAATTATAATTCAGCATTGTTTGTGCAATTGTGTGATTAATGCCTCCTTCACAATCTGGATTGCAATTTTCATACAGAAATTCAAATGTAATGGAGAAAGGGAATTTAGAGGAGAAGAGAAGAAGTCAGGAGGGAAAGGGACTAAAAAAAGAATCAAGCTGTTTTATGTACATGTACCCCCACTTCAAGATTACTATAAACTGCATGTACTAATAAAAGCTAAGATAAATTAAAATGTGTGACATTATTCACCATTATATACCAAAGTTCTAAGTAAACAGGAGTGATATTGTTTACCATTACATATCAAGATCCTAGGTAAATAGAAGTGCATTAGATATTTGTTGAATGAGTACTGTCAAAGGAGTAGTAAACTATTATGTAGTTTTATGTATTGCAGGTAAGAATGCGAATCCAAGAGAGCACTTACAGTTAAGCCTGGAAGTGTCCATGTCTTTACCAGACGCTAGCGCACTCCAAGCCTCTAACTTAATGATAAATTCTAAGTGCTACAAAGCTTTGTGTAAAACAGAAGTTAACATAAGCATGAAATGTAAAAACACTATTAAGGAAAAGGGATATGAGAGATAAAACACCAAAATGTTAAATTTACTGTATTTTGATGGTAATTGGAATAGTTCACCATTTATTTTTTGGTTCATTTTCTATCATGAAGGCATTCTCATTTTGTCATAAAATGCAGATGTTTTAATAAAATCTATTAATTATTTTGACAAAGAATGAGTAAAAATAACACTTCACACATACTTGTGAATAACATTGCTGTGGTATACGCAAGTGACTCAAAGCCCACCCTAATGTGGTTCAGTAACTGGTCCAATTTTTCAAGGATTCTAATTATTTTCGTGCATAGTTATATATCCATATTCACTGGAACTTTTCACTATAAAGGTGGCCACTCTGTAACGTGGCCATTTATGGCTTAAATTCACCTTTTCAAACAATTAAAACAACAAAAAACTCTTTTCCCCTAATACCAGAGATTTACAACTAAACCATAGAAGAAAAAAATACATAGAGAAAATATCTATATCACTTATGGGACATCAGAAAAAGGCATGACAAAGCTCTAGATCTGTGACTAAGAAAATATAACTGTTCACTTTTCCACCCTACTCCAATTCTCTACATGTGCTGGCCAGCTTCCCTCCATATTATTTCATGTCACTGTGAGGGAAAAATTGCAGAAAGGGGATCAAAAAGGTCTCATATAGGTGCCACCTGTGCAGGACCCACACAAGGTGGCAACCAGAAAAGCAGTTACTTCCAAAGCAAAGGCGTCCGAAGTGGGATGCCTCTCCCCAAGCGGGTGCAAGGCCATGCTTTGAAGCCTGAGGATGCAATAGTAAACTTCTGAGTTTGTCTTACCCTAAATGAGACAGAAGGCAAGCTTTGATGGTGATTGAACATATGAACTGGCATCAGGACCTTCAGGGGGCCTTTCCGGTCACCAGAGGCAGGTTGGAGCATGTTATAACAAATCTGAGAGTCACACAGGAACAACGCTCTCATTCACTTATTCCCTGTGTTTTGCCAAGTTTTCAAAGTTTGTGTGTTTCTGGTTAGGGAGATATGTAAGCTATATCACGTACTAACATTAGGATGGTTTAAGGAAGAAAAATCCCACACAGATGATAAGGATTGAAGACGATATTTATAAAATTAACAAA